GTGGCATCAGTTTGGGGCAAATCAGTATTTAAGTAAAGCCCAAAGTTGAGATTTGTGATATTATGTCTGATTATTTTTCGAAAATATCATTTATCACGACTGATAGTGGCATATTTCCCACAGCGATATGATTCCAATAAACTTCACTTAGTCTTGCACTAAAAATATTTTCTTATATAGACTGTTCTAAGGTTTCGAACTCGCTCTCGAAATGAGTTTGTAAAATGGATCGTGCACATTATGGCGACAGTTGATAAATCCGCTGAAGGGCCAGGGGACCCAGCGTGCCAAAGTAAGCTAGGCCTTTACGAAATCGCATTTATATATTGATTTTCGATGAGGAAAACAGGCGTTTTCCATTACAAATGACGACTTTATCACTCATACATACGAGCGTATTTTTAGCACTGTGGGTAAAGCTCGATTACAATACCCTAAATCACTTAATTTGGCTTAGGCTGGCCAAGTTTGTGTCAAATAATTTATGAGATGTCATCTATTGTAATGAAAAATACATGTTTGCCATACCGATAAATATACTAAAAAAAGGATTTTTGAGAAATCAAGCTTACCTCGAATCTTAGATTTGCCCTGTAACCTATTGACACCTATGGCTGTGTGGCAGAACGCTAATGAGACAATACGACGCGCAAAACTCGATTTCAAATCGAATTGCGTGCTGATAAGAATTAGACGAGCTCATTACTTAATTCCAATTTGAATAAGAAAATATTCTGGGGAGCAAAACTATATAATAAGGGCTACTTATATAAGTTTGGGAGCACATGCGAGCTAGGGTCACCAAACACTTATTTGATCTTTCTGATTCGTATTGTTTATAATTGCCTTAAATTGCAAATTAGCATGCCAAGGTTTTATGTGGTTAGCTTATATTAATCCTTTTCATTAATTTCCTTTTTTGCTAATAAAATACTAGCTTCTTTATTCCTAAAAGTATTTTAAGTATGTATATATACAACTATATATAATTAAGTATTTAGATGTATATGTTCACTTAAATATATCTATTTTTATCCTTATAAACATTAGATATTAATATATGATATTTGCTTTACAGATTACCCTAAATTAGTTACAAGTTAATAAAATACTTCACGACATTTCACAATATAATCCTTTGTTAATTCAACTAAATATACAGATTTATACACACCTTGATTTCCATCTTGCCACGAGGTGTCACCTCGCCCTGCCAGAGATCAGGTTTTAGCTCGACCCACGCAGTAGTCTCCTTTAGATCTCGGTTCGCTGTCACACCTTTGTGGGTTGGCCGAGTGGAACAGTGCGTGAAGTGACCTTGCTCTGAGATAGAGCTGATAGCCCCTATCTCAGCTGATTTCGCAGATTCATTTGAAGTTATTGCATCAGCCAAAGTTGCATTACAAGAAGAAGCGGCTTTATGACTAACTGATTTGTCGGAAGGCAACAATGCAACTGCCAACCTGAAGATCACAGGTCCGGGACCCTCATTATTGAGCACAAGTAAGCGACTGCACTCTAGTCCATGAGCCACAGGGCCGAGCAAAAAGTGACGTGTAGACACTGTGAGTCGGCCTATCGGGAGGGTAGCTTGGCAAACCAAACGAGAACAATGCTGGTTCATGTCAGAGCTCTGCAATAGTGAGTTATGATCTAAAGCCGGCTCTAATTCGTCTGCAGTTGTTTGGCAAGTGGAATCCTCTGAAAATGTCTGAACTTTAACAGAACATCCATCATTAGGCCTTTGGTTGAGTATAAACTTGGCGTTTGTCTCTACTCCAAATCCGGCATGAAAAACAACCTCACAATCGAGGCATGAACTGGACTCAACAATCCCTGACCCCGGTTACAGAAGGATAGTGTCGAAACGAAAGACGCAACGAGGAAGTAATAGAAAAAAGCGTTGGTATATCAGAGCAAATAAAAGATGGCAAGGTACCATAACATGTCCTTTTGCAAACCATGAATGTATACCTAGCCTGCCCATCCTTTATCTCAGCTGAAGCAAATATTTCTTCAGAAATACCATCATAATTAATTCTTATGTCTTACTAAAGTTAGCCGATAAACCTGGCTATTGTAGTGAAGATTTTTAAGAGCGATATAAATCTCGAATCTAGGAATGGCTCCGATTGCATTAATTTACATGTTAACTGCAAATAAAATGACATCATCCTACTTTATTCTACTGGGT